AAAGTTTCCTTAAGAAAAGAGTTAAGACTTTCTGTGGACAATAAAACTTTTAAATGGAAAAATCGTACTTTTGAAACCACAGGAAACGAAGAAAGAATATATGGTCGTAGCAAGTTTTATTTTGTAATAAGTTTATATGTTATGTACCTTTCTATCTCCTTAAATAAAACCTTTTTGAGCAACGTGGTTGCAGGTTGAAGATATGGATAAGATAAAGGCTTAAAATTCATGATCTGATAAGAATAAACCATATTTACTTTGAAGTTTTTAGTTTCTCCACATTCAGGTAACATCAAGTAGTTTACACAGTGATAAAAGTCAGGTTTTGAGATAAACTTTGTATGCATTACCATCCAGCCGTTGACTCTAAAAGCCAACACTGATAAGGGCTGATAATCACGTGATCCAAACAGCGAACCAAAATTATCTCCCTGCACTGTCTGCCTTTTTTTGCGTTGAAATCTAATGGTGACAAATTATACATTTCGAGATTTTATAATCAGGATCGGCTTGTTCAAAGCTCCATTATCGCAACTGAACCCTTAAAAAAACTTCTAGATATTTATTCTTCACGTTTCTTCAAAAAWTTCATTTATAAATTTCAGACGGTTTCCACCAGTACTTCCAGGCATACTCGAACTGACCGCGTACACAGGGTTCCCGGTTCGAATTCAATATTCTCGTTTTGTTATTTGGACCATTATTTATTTAATGATTCTAGCGTTGAATTGACTGATAAAATTTCATTATGAATGATAGAATGAGTCTAGTTCTCAACAGTAATTTTTTCCTAGTTTTTAATTATTCATAGGCCAACTTGTACCCGAGATCCTTTGCGATCGTTCGTTTGGTTGATTGAGAAGATCTGTTTTCAAAACTTACCTTTATGGATCAGTCACATATGAGAAAATTACAAAAAGGCAAAAAAATTATGAAAACATATATTTYCATGATCTACAGCCTTGTTTAAATCTTTCTTTTAATATAGAGTCACCCGGACCTCTTCGCTTTTTCCTGAAAAACAGTTTTCGCTACGATCTCTAAATCCTTCTAATAGTGTAGTTTGTCCGCTCGCTAATGCGATTTTAAGTTGCAAAATCGAATTGGATTTAGATTAGAATAGTTTAGAATTGCTTTGAATGACGAGAAAAGGATAATAACYAGATTAGTTACAAGGAGGTGCTTTAGATGGCGTCGTATGTCTGTCATGTTTTATATTTTTAGTATTTTYCAGTCCCCGGATGACGGTATTTTGAGCACCAGTTTCAGGAAATTGAATAACAATTTTTAATGTAATGTCGCCAGGGTTTTCAGGCCGTTACTTCTGTTTTTATTGACTTTTTTATTCATTTTGGTATTGTTATAAACTAATTAAGATTTTGTCACGAGAATACCACAAAATATTGACATTAGGGCTGTCAAAAGAGTCGGTTTTCACGCAGAGGTTTGACTCGCCCATTTTGTTCTTAATTTTGTGTAGATATTTTACGCTAAATATTGGTTTCCCAACGAGAGAGACTCTGCTAGCAGGAAAAATATTGGTCAAATGTTTTCCATTTGTATTATTATCGTTATTTGCAGTAATGCCTTTTTGTCGACGGTTGAAGTGTATTTGCTTGTTTCTTATTTGTCTGTCTGTCTGCCGGTTGGTCTTTACGTCCTTTCTGTTGTCTGTCTGACCGTCTTTCTGTACTCGTGTTTTCGGTACGTCAGTCTACCCGTCTTCACCCCTGTTTGTACTATTTTCTCTGTCTGTGCTGACTGCTGTTCTTTGTACGTGCTGTGCTGCCCTTTATACTCTGTCTGTCTGTCTGTCTGTCTGTGCTGTCCTTATTCTCTGTCTGACTGTCTGTCTGTGCTGTCCTTTATACTCTGTCTGTCTGTCTGTCTGTGCTGTCCTTTATACTCTGTCTGTCTGTGCTGCCCTATGTTGTCTGTCTGTGCTGTGCTGTATTCTCTTTGTGTTGGTCTGTCTGTCTGTCTGCCTGTTGTCACCCAGTCTTTAATGAGCCACTTGGAACACAGAAACATACCCTACTGAGGCTACAAACGATAACTCTAGAATGATAAGCATATTTTGAATCAACCTTTTACAAACAACAAAAGACACTGCTAGGATATTAAATAATGCGTGAAATTTGATGTCATACCGAGAAAGAGGAAATGAAAAAAACGTTCTTTTAAAAGTGTGTTTTTAACGCGGTTATTACAAATTCCCCATTGTGTTCTCACTGTTGGTATCATCATCACTTCAAAAACCTTGAGTAAAATCACCTACCATTTCTCCCTTCTATTTCTAGTTGCCATGGCTTTCATGACCTAAGCGTCATTAATCTTAATTTGAAAACAATTCCCTTTTCAGTGCGGCAATCAAAAGCACACATCAACCAATTTCAAGTCTCTTGATCAGGCGACAAAATGCTTCAATAATCCAAGCATTTTAAGTGATTTAGTTGAAAATTACAACGCCACAGGAAGCCCTCGTTAGAGCGTTGTTTTTATTTTTTTGTGTCATTAATAAATCGTATCCTTAAAAACACTGACCCTGACTTTTGCTTTGGCTCGGTCTAATCAAAAGGCATTGACCTTTTTTTATCTCTGTTTGTTATTTTAAATTCAACTTCAATACAAGATAAAATGAAAATAGGGTCCATACTTCGGCTTTGTCAAACCGCACTTACCATTCGGCTTGAGCTCGTATTTTAGGGCTCAATCTTTGTGTTGTGACTTTGTTCTTTTGTAGTGTGTTATACCGTTTTTTTCTTTCGAATTCAGGTTTACTACGAGTAAATAWTATCACCATTTCGTCTTGTCAAGAGCTTTGACAGAGGACCATTTAAAGCTTATTGGGTGTTTAGTTTCTGTCCAATCAGAATGCTAGAACGTTTTGGCGCGAAATGTCGCAAAAACATGTTGATTTTTTCGCTTAGCCGTCTGTTGATCTGTTTATTAATAGTTCTTGTTTTACTGATATATTTTTTGAATTWTCTTTTCTAATTTGTTTTAACAAAAATCTTTTTAATTTTTTTTCCTCTTTCTTACTGTCTTTCTTTTCTCAATKTGTGTTCKTTTCTTCTTTTCACTTTTTTTCTGATCTTTCTTGCTATTTGTGCTTTCCTTCCGTTTCAGAATATTAGAAGAAAAATAATATACTGTTAGAAGATCTGTTTAATATACACTCTCTATGAGACTCTTGTTGATATGCACTCTCTATGGTATCAGTAAGAATCCTTACTTACTTTGTTTAGTCGATAGTAGTAATTGTTTTGTATATTTTTCTTGACTATTATTGGAACATTTGTTTATTCATCCATTTATCTAATTCGCGTTGTGGACTGTTTATTTTTCGTTACTATGGCAACGGAGATCAGTATGTACAGACAAATGTTGCTGTCGCTGATTAAAGTCTAAACTTTTCATTCAAAACTACAAAAGTCTTCCAGGGAAGGGTAGGTGCTTTCATTTCTAGCTGTTTTGCCTTGGTACATAGTGTATTTTTGTGCTTTTGAGGTAAACACACTCCCCCCTGGCGCCCATTAAACACTTGCAGTTTTAGAGACGAATAAAAACAATATCAATCGAATCGACTCATAWAGTATACAACTATCATCTTGGATGTATTTGAAAGATTTTCGTTTCATTTACAAAACATTATTACAAGAAAAATTGTCAAATTTTTAAAATTTATTACGAAAAGATGTTCAAAGATATAGTATTCGTTACAAAAATCCAAAGTTGTTTGTAACACTAAACTCCTTCTTAATGGCAAGAAATTCTATACCAATTTTAAGACGTCTTAAAAAAAGTTCTCCTGTCTAGTTTGACTGCTTTGAGAGASAGAGAAAAGTCCCTTAATTCTGTAGTTTGGAAAGCGGTCGGACGGAAACGATTCCTAATAACGAGGGTGAATTGTTGACACTTTACATGACAGGGAGAAAAATCAAACGCATAAATGTTAAATCAGAATATAGGTAAACTCAATCGTATTACATCTCATATTATCATTTTTTATTGCTTTTATATTGAAAAGGGCTTTATTGATCAGGAAAAAAGAGTGTAGAATTTTCCAATGTTGACGTTTGGCCTCACAAGATGCGGCTTTTTAGAATTGGAAAATCCAATTTAATTGCAATTATCCTTATGCGGAACTGTCAGTTGTATAAAGGCAGAGTACACAAGATTTGCCCTCTTGCACAGTTCACACATAATTTCCTTGCTAACATAAATGAGTCATACATTGTGGGCAGAGAATTAGTGTCCTGGTGTCACCCATCCCCATTTTGTCTGGGTATTTTCATTTCCAAAACGCAAAAAATCAATTATCGCGCCTGTAGATTATTTTAAATTCGTTAAAAAAATCCAGTTTCAATTGCTTTTCGCTTGTTAATAGATTTGTTGATTACGACTTGCTTTTTCGGTAATGTCAATTTTATGATTCTCACCATGAGCTCTGCTAAGTCGTTTGTAATCATTGTGGCCGTAAATAGTACAGTTTTTTTTCATTTCTATTCATCGCCAATGAACTTGAGAGATTGTTATCTCTTCTACCCTCTTTTAAGTGTGACCTTGTTTTCTTTTTTTGTCAGCAATTTGGTCCTTTTGTTGTAAACAAAGTCATCTCTGTTAAAATTATCTTGAGGTATAGACTTGACAAATTAGGCGAATACGCACGAATAGTTCTCAATCACAGCTTACAGGTGATGTATTTTGTTTTTCTGTTTGTCAAATTCAACACGATCGAATGGCTGGTCTTCTTTTCGCGTGGCSATGTTAATTATAAATGAAAAACTCATTTGTCCAAATTGTTACTCTCCTTTTTTTTCAAATGGGCAAGTTTATCATTCAAGTAGGTGATTTTTTTTTTTTTTTTGCTATTTTAAAACAGATACACGATTTGTCTCGCCAAATGAACACGCTTGTTGTTCGGATTTCTCTTCCTTCGTGAAAGCAATCAAAGTATAGAAAATGAGATCTGTCAGATTTGCTAGGAGATTGTTTGGTCATAAGGATTATGCGATTACGAGAAATTCACAAATCTGCCGTCAGCTTATTAGCTATCGTAGCATTTGAATATATCAAAATTACAATTGTAATCTAAAACACTAGACGGGTCTACAGAAAGTGGATATTTTTAAAAGGCTTGACATCATCGTGATGGAGAATCTGGGTGAAATTAAGCTTGGAAGGTAACGTGGAAATTTTTAATAGACCCAATTTGTTCTTCCATTTAGCGAGACATGAAAACCAGCCATATCTATACAAAGCATCACATTCGCTGTCATCACACTGAATTCTCAGKGTTTGGAACTTCCTCTTTYCCCGATATAGGAAGCCTTTCCTGTTCTYAATTGAACAAAATATTTTGTTTTCAAACCAGGTCGTTAGCACGTAGAGGGTACGTGCAATGTCGAGTGAATCWGTAATTWAGGCCACATTAATCCCGAATACAAGTCATTCAAGCTATCATTTGCATAAGCTATGATTTGGTAATATGAACAGTCCAATAATCATTTGTTTTTGTTTCAGGATTTTGTGTTTTTCGCATTTCCAGGGGCATAACTGTCCATATGCAGTTTTGAACCCACGGGCGTATTTTCTAAGAAAAAGTAAACTAATTTTTTATGGAAATCGGTTATTCTGCTTTTAAATCTGTATTTTCAATCTTTCTTCAAGAGCTACATTTCACAGTTAGATCCTACATTTACATAGAGAACAATATGCAATGCGACAAGCAATTATTCCCACTGCATTTCGTGTCGTTTTTCTATCCTTTTCATTTCCCTGAGAATGGTACGAAAACGTAACGATGAGAAAAAGAATCCGAGAGAACGAGGTCTTAGTTCTAYGGAATAATAGATGTGCTTTTTTCCGAGTAGTGATATGAGAACTAATTTCCTAAGGAGTGATTTAGGCTCAAGATTTTGCATTTCCATAATAGAAGTATAAAATTTCACAATTTCCTCACCTTTCAAGTTCTAGTAGTATGATTCTTAAAACATTTCAAACAATTCATGAGAGATTTTAGCAGAAATTGATGCTTCTACTCGCATTCATTATCTTGTTCGGTGTAGAATTYCTGTRTATATTTAGTTTTCTTTTTTATCAKATTAAAGTTTTTGTCGTTGTTAGAAATTATAATCCATGCTTTTGTAATGAATTCTGTGTACCTGTGGAGCTTTTTCTAAGGAATGTTAACATAAYCAAGTTTGATACACTGTTATATATTATATGTTATAGATTAAGGTTCACTAGAATTATTTTTAAACAGCACGTTTACATTAGATATAAAATTTCAGAATAAATTTAAGGTGTTAACCGAGAAGTTTTTCTATGCAGTATTTTTGTAAAGAATAAAATAGATTTTTTATAGGTTTGCCAGTGTTTCAGAACCACCCATTCTACATCATCCAAACACTAACCTCAGCAGCGCAGCTTTTATCGTCCTTCATAAACCTGTCCTTTCCGCTGTTTAAAGAGGAAATCATTCCAGCGTCAGAGAGTCTAGTTTTTCCGACTTTTGCATCAGCGGCGTTTCAGTGGTCCACATTGTATTAATGTATATTCAGTGGTATTGCTCATTTGACACCATGGACATGGTAGCTCAAGTACCAATATTGACGTACTAATTTCACTGCTTTTAAATCTCTTTCATTACATTCCAAATAACATTCAAATGTATCGACCTACCTTTTGTTCTTTCAAACGTAGTAATTCCCATTTAACAACGGTTTTTTGTGCAGTCGTTGCCAGATCTGGAGTATAAAGGAAAAGTCAGTATATTTTTGCAATCAATCTTCAAGATGTCCTTACCCAGTATAAGCAGTCCCCTGAGGCTGTTTTGACCATAGGATTTCAACTCTCAAATGAAGTGGGCCAAGCTAGAGATGTCTTTTCTATTCAAACCATATAATTAAAGTTTAATAAAATGGGCAAAATGCTCAACAGCTGGATGGTTTACAATTAACTGTAATTTCTCACTCAGATTCCTTATCGAAATTCTAATTTTCAACAAACGAATTTGTTGAAGTCAGGAATTTTAAGCATCTTGACAGCGATTGGCTAAACAGTTGACATTCTCGGCTCACGTGAAATTAGAATACGCGGAGAGGATCCTTGTGTTCGCGTTCCTGCCGAAAATGATTCTCCTAGTGCTTGAACCATAGCATAGCATGAAACAAGGACAGCMTTTGGTCGTTTGACCGCCGCGATACACAAACTGTCAGGTTCTGATGGAGCGACTTAGGTAAACCTATTTAGTAAGATTATTGTTGTACTCTTTAGCTTGTAATCAGTTTAAAAAAATTCGACATTTTTATTTGTTGAAACCTCTATTTTCGCTTATTTTGAATAAGTATTCTTTACTTCGAAAATAAACATCCATACATCAATGCATTTTTCAATARACARCACAGCYAATCAATGTCGTTGGCATTTGGATTTCAAATTTGATTTTCTTTGACTTTGACTTATTACTATTGCTCACTCAATCCAGAATCGCATAAATACATTTTTCTTWTTTAGCTCTGGCATCTCAAAGTGAATATGGTCATTCAAAAAATWKCATGATAGAAAGTGCCCTTAYAAATGATCGCCGTTCTGAGTTGCCAGCCATAGTCAGCCTTRTGCCGAGTAAAATTACTTTTCCGAGCTTACTTCATAAAAAAACCTCGCATAGAAAGCTAAAGACATTTAGAATTKAACATATGACTGTGTCACAATTATTCATATATATGTATATATTGAGAAATTGTAACATTGTTCCAAAGAGCACTTGAATGTTTCCGAATYGAAGGTTTATGTTGGGCCTTCTATTATGGTAATATTTAGAGTTTCTGTTGCACATTAAGAGCCAAATGGCCTTTCGGTATTTRGTGTTATTCGTTTCAAAAAACAAATATCTGCAATATATTTTGTTTTTGCGATATTTTGAAAGGTGGAGGTCGAGTAACTCCACGGGGTTTTAATACAAAATGCATCTTGACAGGAAATAAATGTAAAGGTTAATATAGCTTGCTTATGGACCAAAGCTGAATGAAGAACCCTAATGGAAATTACAGCTTCTTCCCGGCTTTTGCCTGAATCGAATTTCGAATCATTATTGAGTCATTCTTTTTGATGAAAGTATGATTCCCCCACAAACAACCGCCTTCGCATTTAACTGTCATRTGAGAAAATCCTTTTTCCGCCGTATTTGGTGTCACAGTTTTTTTTTTGTCGATTTTCATTGCTAAGTTCAAATCGATATTCAGTATACTCTTTGTTTTYATTTCATTATTTCTCGTGATTTCCTGATCATTCTTTTAATGCCTTTTCATTATATTCCACATTATCATCCTTCTCCATGTTTTSCCACCCTTTTTAATGTTTTGATATTTATCTTTTTTTTTCTTTTTTTCTTTTCTTTTAATTTTTGAACTTTTTCTTTCAAAAATATTTCTTGATCCATCTTATTTATCCATCTTATGCTAGCTAAATCAGAGTTCTTATTTTAGTTTTATTTAGCCGTTTATTTTTCTTCTATTCAATTTTGTGATGTTTTAAATGTGCTTTTTTTCATCCCATTCAATTTCCCGTTTCTTATCGCAACACGATACAACAAGAGTTTAATCGCCAATCTGTACTGCTAACTAATCCACTTGAAATAAAARATTTCCCATTCTGCGATTACTAGTTCTTATAACCAAAGAAKACACTGACAACTGYGTCAGTTGAGAACATCAATAAATACAAATCCAACCCTACGGACTAACCCGAAACTACTTCGACGCCCACCCCTTAACAGGACACGTAACATCCACGACGTCATTGATGACGTCAGGACGARTTAAACTCGTGTATTTTCAACTTACATCGTTTGAAAATTGAGTGGTTTTGTGTTTTACTAAGAAATGTCAAGTYTATTTTACAGCATGGAGCTTAGTTATCTRAATTTATGTGCGTCATGGGTACGTTTATATGGGCGGCCAGAAACTTTTTGATCTTTTTATATTTGTGTTTGTAAGAAATCAATCAATCAATTAATTAATCAAAGACATTGCGTTATTTATCATAATTTGTCCTTGCGGCTGCCTCAATGGTAAAAACATTTTAATGGAATATGGTCTTCCGCCAGCACTTGTCGTATTAGACGAATTAGAAGCTATCCTGAAATTGTAAAAAAAAAGTATTTCAAGAGTAAAGCTACATTATCGATGCGTCTATATTACATACACTATCATACCTTCATGTAACGGRCAACGTTTTATTACGGGCACTTTGATATTTGGAATACCTTCAAACAARGACCACCTCTTTATTACGGTTACTTTATATTGGGGACACGTTCATATAACGTCTACGTCATGTAACGGTTACGTCTTTAATGTCTTTTACGGATACTTTGATAGATTTGTCTATTGAGTAAGCTACAGGTAGCGGCCACCTATTARACGTTCGTTGGAACCTCGGATAACGGACACCCGCTGAATACGACCAACCCTTATAACGGCCTTATAAAGTTTCGATGTCCCTTCGGTGGRCGGTTTAACGAGGTTCRACTGTAKAACGGGTTTTGACTATAATTCTGTATTTCTCTATAGCAACGCGTTATCAGTGGACACAGAAATGTCCAATCCAAACAGCAAACGGACATCGAGAGTACATTTTGAGGATGCTGTTGACGATGCCGATGATGCTGACCTTGTGAACAAAAAGAACAAGAAAAGCTACTGGTCGAAAGGAGAACGTCGTTATAGTGAGGCCGAGAAAGCTTTCCTTAGTCGTGTCCGAATACGATCTGTTGTTGGTCGAGATAGACAAAGGAAATTTGGATGTTTGAAGTTCTTTGATCCTGCAGGTACGTCATAGTTTGAGAATTCAAAGTAACACGTGTTCTGATTGGGCACAGTATGTTATGATGCGGGTTGTGATTGGATGATGATGTTCCCAATAGTTATACTGTTGCTCCCTCCCTCCCTCCCTAGGGCAAGCTATGCATGCTATACTGCCAATATGTCATCATTTGTACACTGATATAACGTGCATTGTGCAGTAAACATTAAGACATCGTTGTAACCCTCGTATGCTGTCACGTCAGAATATTTGGATATATAATACCAGTGTATTAATGCAAACCGGTTACAATTTGAAACGTTTTTGTACCTCACACATTTAAAACAAGCTTGGTTGGATATCAATGACCAAGATTTGTTTTCAATCCATATTCAAGCTATTAGTGGTAGACTCCAGACTCTTCACTTACTAGTGATCTTTACCGTCATTTTCTCTTTCTCTTCGACGGAAAATTTTGTATGTAACACGCCTTACACCGAGATCTTAGCTCAGTAATTTGACTAATAAGCACAGAAATATAAATAAATAATGAGTAAATGAATTGATAAATGAATGAATAAACTGATAAAAAGGCAATGAATGAATGACTAAATGAATGAAAAAAAAAAATAACAAGAACAGCAATAACAAAGGAATAGATAACTTAATGATTCTATAAACAATTTCCGAAATTAATGGAGACAATGTAAATACAGGAAAAAAATACATGAAATGTCGAATATCAACCAACTGGATGGAGAAACAAATAATGAGATAAATCGATAAATAAATGAAATCTGAAACTAAATAAACAAACTAAAGTTATAAATGAACACAATTATCGTTTGTTCACCTTGCAGAAGACAGGGTATACCTGTGGTTGTTCGTAGTTTCTATAGCTGTGCTGTACAATATATGGACCATCATGCTTCGTACCGCTTTCTCTCAGCTCAACAATGAGTTTTTTATCATCTGGCTTGTCTTGGATTATGGTTGTGACATCATCTACATKGCTGATATTATAATTAGCATGAGAACTGGCTTTCTAGAGGAGGGTATTATACAAACAAGTCCACGTAAATTACGAAATCACTACATCAAGTCATTGCCGTTTTTTCTGGACGCCGCTGCCACCATACCGTTGGATTTTCTCTACATATTCGTTCCTTACATCCCTGCTGTCCGTATTAACCGCATTTTCAAGTTCCATCGCTTTTGGCATTTTTTGGACCGTACGGAGAGTCGAACCTCGTTTCCAAGTGTCATTCGTTTAGGATCATTAGTTCACTTTATACTCATTATTATTCATTGGAATGCGTGCGTGTATTTCATGGTATCGAAGGAACTTGGTTTTGGTACRGATAACTGGGTTTATCCTGGTCTTCCTGGACAATTGAACAAAAATACCAGCTATGACTCACTGTCACGTCAGTATATATACTCGTTTTACTGGTCGACACTGACTTTAACCACGATTGGTGAAGTGAACCCTCCTAATACTACCGTACAGTATGTGATTGTTACATTTGATTACCTCATTGGTAGGTTATTGTTTGTTGTAGTGTCACTTGTTTATTCTTAGTTTCAATTAGTAAGTTATATCACTTATTTCCTTATTTCATTATGATGTCAATTCAAAACATTCTATTGTTTTAACGCTAAGGACTATGGTCGCCTGACGGGATCAGAGTGACTGCATACCAAATGAAATGTACATATGCAATATTTGATACATGACATCTATCAAGACATGATACATTGCTCAACTTTCGGAAAGAATATAAATTGTTCCTAATAGACCTAATCGGCTAACGCGTTGCCATGTACGTTACCACCCAATTCAAATCCTGTGGGAAAAACAACATTTGTTTCTAAGAATTCAACTGTGAAATGAAAATACAACGAACAATGAAACTTACTCCGGGGTGGTTTGAATTGGGTGGAAACGTTTATGGCAACTCGTTAGCCGATTAAGTCTATTTCCACTTTTTTTAGCATCTTTACCCGATGTAAAAATATCGTGACGTCATAATAAAATAGGGCAATTGTTTCAGTGTTTGTTTGTTTGTTTTTGCTCAGTTTTCAATAAATAGATTGTGTACATCTAGATTGTGATGCAATGATGATTTTCAGGWTATGATAATGATGAATGATSATCGTTTGATCTGCTTTCCWGTTCCTTTTTACCCACGACGGTATTTTCTCCATGTYCTTATTTTATGTACACTGATATTAGATAGCTTATCACATTCACYCTTTTTTTCTCACTCCATTAGGTGTACTTCTCTTTGCTACTATCGTCGGTAACGTTGGTAACATCATTACCAACCTAAATGCGTCCAGGCTCGACTTTCAAAACAAAATGGACGGCGTCAAGGCTTACATGCGCTTTCATAAGATCCCTCAAGACCTTCAGAATCGTGTCATCAAGTGGTTTGATTACCTATGGACGTACAAGAAACATCCTGATGAAGAAGAGATATTATTGTCGTTACCAGATAAGCTAAGAGCAGAGATAGCAATCAATGTTCATCTGGACTCTCTTAGAAAGGTTGCCATCTTTCAAGACTGTGAATCTGGATTTTTGTGTGAGCTTGT